AAAAGAGTAAAAGTGGGATGGGCGCGTGTTGCTGGTAACACAAATACTGTACCTAGTAAACTTAATCCTCCATGGATAAGCTTGACTACTAGTAATATTATTGTTTTTTTATATTTATGATTTCAAGGGTTGTATTTGCTAAAATTAGTTGTACACTGTAGTTGTTTTAATAAGGTACTGCATGTGAAATATTTGAATATATGGTGAAATAAACAAAACTATTATCTGTGTAAACATACTGGTAGTTGAAAATACTTAGTCATCTTACAAACCATCAGCGTGACAATAGGCAGCAAAAATTGGGCAGATTTCGCCGCACGACGTTAACCTCAACTTTAAGTATTAGTAAAGATAAGGCATGCCATTAGGTACTTTCGCCGCTTGATGTTAACCTTAACTTTTACGTTAGTACCCAATATGCAGCGCCATAGCTCTGCCACTTTTTGTAAACAAATCAAAAAACGCATGCGCAAACCCGCAACTAACGTACGTCGAGCACGTAAAATCCTGAAATTAACGTACTCCGCAACGCAAGATGAATAAATTATGCTGTCATCCATTAACGTTAAGGTGAAAATTCCCTATTAACAAATGCCTTATCTTTACTTCTGCTGAAGATGGAAACCCCAGTCACAAAAGTAGTCTTTAATTAGACACAGAAGCAAGTAAATTTTCTGGAAATTTGCTGAAATTCGCTAGAGATAGGATTATCTAATTTCTACTTTATTGAATACAATTTGGATGATATACCCACATCTTGTGTTGGGCTCTATGGTGTCCGCTTGTATGGTCATGTCAAGCCTGTTTTCCATAACATTGCTTTACTGTAGCTAAAGTGCTTTGTTACACTGCATACTGTCCCCCCCCCCAAGATGCAATCAAAGTGCTCCCCAATTCGTCCGACTAAACAGCGTTAAACAGCGTTGCTAAAACTTGTTGACGATAGCATGTAGCGATTTTATGGATACTAGGGTTTATCTAGAACAAAATTTGATAACACACATATGCTGTTCTTTCTACGTCTATGTTTTTATTGAATAATTAAAGCAAAAAAAAAAATAAAACATTATGGTCCAACAAAATGTATGAGGCTTCCCAGAATGTCTAGTTACATAAACAATGAAGACACTGTAATGTTCCATGCACTCTAATTATTACCCGTTTCTGTATATGAAAAATCAATCTGTTTAAATAAATCATGTAGACGTGAAATTAACCGTAAAATACACAATACTGTACTTGACTTTTTATATACACAAAAATTTTTTAATGCATCATCTAAAATAATACAATACCTGACAAAAAGAATTTGGATTTGGTGAGCACAGGAAAGGGGAGGTAACAGGAGGAAAAGGGGATTAAAAAAAAAAAAACCACACTGAGATCATTAAATTAGAGCATGTTCAATTACAAGGAGGTATTGCATGCAACATATATGAATTCTAGATTTTTATGCCTTAATTAACAGTACTGAATTGGAAGTATCAACATTATGGCTGCTACAACAATACTCCACACGGCAAAGGACAGATTGAACCAAAGAAAATAACTCTGATTGAATTATTCTAGGTATCAACCTATTCTAGGAATAACTTTATCTAGAGATCAACTTTATCTAGATCAGCTTAATCTGGATTTCAACTTTATCTAAAAATTAACTTAATTTAGGGATTAACTTGATTTACTGAGCAATTTAATTTAAGGATCAATTTGATCTAAGAATCAACTTGACCTAGGAATCAACTTGATCTATTATCAACTTGACCTGATGGTCAACTTGATCTGGTGATCAACGTAATTCCACGTTCAACTTAATAAAAAGAACTTAATCTGGTGATCATGCATAGTTAAAAATGTCCTAATTCTTGAATATACCTACTGGCATTCCTAGAATGTCAATCAAATTTAGTAATTATTAAATTACCCAACAAGAGTAAATTGAGGAATTATACATAGTGGCTAGCATGCAATGACTAAGACGACTGTTCTACTATTTTCAAGGGATGTTCTAGTTAAGGAACAATGATAATTATTAATTTATTTACGACATAAAAACTATTAAATCATATTTTCCCATTTAAGGCTATTTTGCATAAATCCCAATCAGAGCAGATCAATTATCAGTTGAAGAATGCTATTTCTCTTGGTACCTGTGTGTTCTACTACAAAATGCTATATAAAATAAATATGACCATTTTAAAAAGATTAAATCATTGTCATGTTAACCTAAAAAAAAAAATTAAAAAAATAAGAAAACACCCTTTCCACATTTTATTAGTTCTGAAAGGTAAAATTTATAGCACATTTAATGTGCAGCGTCCCTAATCTGCAACAACACTGAACATGGCATTAGTTACACGAGCATAAACCTACACCAGACAACCTCACATTTTACAAAGGCATAAAAGAAACCAGCACACTAATTCACTTTTGCATAAAGTATAACCATAGTTCCTAGTTAATAAAGATGTCCACACTATTAACTGTTATATGCCCATATATAGTCATGATGTGCCCATATATAGTCATGATGAGCCTATATATGGTCGTGATGTGCCTATATATAGTCATGATGTGCCCATATATGGTCATGATGTGCCTATATATGGTCATATATGCCTATATATAGTCATGATGTGCCCATATATAGTCATGATGGACAGGGCTTAACGATGACAATTCACAAAGGATATTGAAAATATGAGCTGATAAAATTACATACCTTAGCAAATTGACATCATTAACAGCCATACTTGAATACTGCTTTGTGTATGTTAAATCATTAATTTGAATATTATATACTGTATATGTATATATATATTATATATATACTGTATATATATATATATATATATTATATAATGTAATTAATAAAATATTTTAACCTTAGCTTTTATACCTTATATAGCTTAACCATAACCTTTGACACTAACTATTGACTTCTTTTTTTTACTGGACGGGCAGATGTTTATCCTAATAACCTGTGTATTTATACAGTACATAAAACAGCATTAAATACAGTTGAAAACAAAACTATAAATTTAAAAACGACCATCGTGTTGCCTTTCTTGATTAGGTCAGATTAAATGAAGACACTGGATTGCCTGCCATTAACCATTTGTTAAACACACCAATGGAATATTCAAGCTTGGTTGGTTCAAACGCATACATACTCAACCCTGAATAACCAATTTCTGTGCGCGATATGAATGCAGCGTAAAAAAAAAACGTAACAATTCACGATTTCTAGTCCGTGCTCCAGACCGGATCCGGGTTTGATGTGAACGTACCTTAACCCTCAATACAACACGGAGCATCACACAGATGCCCTGCATATTCAATTATGATTGCCCTGTACTGTAATTGCAGGCACCTCATGCTATGATAGTGATGCAGACTGGAAAGGTTAAAGGTTAACTTGAAATACTACAAAGAGGATGACTTATCTACCAGATACATCACTATTATTAATTAGTCCAATTTATTACTGGTTAACTTGTCCAATTTATAAATATGCTACACAGTCAGTGGAAATTGTTCTTGTAACTTGTAGCAAAAATAATACACAAAAAAATATATCACACAGCATCTTACAACACTGAATTATACAAAATAGGCATTTCTATAATTTTACACTTTTTTAAACAGGAAAAAATAAATCATGACGATTAGGACAGTTTCACAACCTCTATGAAATCATTTTCATAATCTGCTTTATTGCAGGTAACTTTACCTAGGCCCTTAGTGTTTGCTGTAAAATATGACATTTGAATAATGGTTACCGCAACGAAATAATTTGTCCGGTCCAGTAAATACGCTGCATTTTACCACAGTAAAAATATCTTAATACACTTAACTCAGTTTCAAATCTTGTGTTGATATTGTACATGACATCCATTTTTCTTATTATTTGTAGGTTGTGAAACTGGTCTAATACGAGGTTTAAAATTCATAATTGTTTCAATGTATGTATCATACTCGATGATAAAACAATTCTATCAGAAACTAACAGTACTGTACAGAAGTAGTATTATTCTTATATTATATAGTGCCAAATTACGCCACTGGGGGTTTTGTATTTTTGGAAAAATAGACACAAGGTTTCATAACCTTTATTATAGCATGCAATCTAAAATATTTGTAATGCTTTACACAACTGGCAAGATTTAAAAAATAGACTAATGCATTTTACAATATCAATTTCCAGTGCTCCATGGGAGCATGTAAGTAGCATAGTGGACGTTATAATAAATTCATAAAAATAATTGACATTGGAACAGTAAAATATCCCCAATCCCAAATATGGTTTTGGGGCGGCCCTTAAGTCGGGCACAGACTGCGGCAACAGTCATTGGCTGTCACAATTTCATAGACAACAGATCGTGTTGAGGCACGCACGATGGATATTTCTATTGTCGATCTGCTCAGACTTCCCTCAACTATCAATAAAACAGCGCTGCATCCTTAACCTCGCACAGACAACAAAGATGGATTTGTTAGCCGACCGTCATTAAACACAGTGTGTGCCCGGCTTAAGAGAAATCTTACAAATTTTCATCTGTATGACATTGATATGCCTGAACTTGGCGCCGATTATTAAATAATTAATGTTACTTATGCAGGCCTAGGTATTTTGATCCAAGATTTCAAATACCATACTTGACCTAGGAAAATATACACCTTTGTACCTGTTGCAACAATCTTAAAATACTTTCAAGAATAAAAATAATTGATTTTCATTCCACAATCACCACATTACAACAGAGAAAAACGAAAGGTATTCTTATTATATTTACAAATGTGAATAGAAAATCATATAAGGATAACCTAGTGTGCGCGAAATCAGAATGCGACAATACTGCAAATAACTATACAGGCAATACATGCAAATATTAAAGACCAGTTCAATCCGGAATGAACCGGTTTTTTTTTTTCTTGATGTCTATCTAAAAAACATGAAGGCAAGAGTTTTACAATGTGGCAAGATGTTATTCTTTCCTCAGACAGGAGCTGGGTCTGGCAGGCCATTTTTGCTTACAGACTTCATGACAACCTCTTCCTCGCAACTTTTAATTTCCTCACCCTTCTCCCAATCTGGTGTTGGTTTCATAAGATTTTGAATTTTCTGAGATGGAGAAATGTGTAAAATATCAGATTTTGATACAAACCAGTTTATAAAATTCTGTTTACATGGACTCGCAATATCTATGATTAAGCATGAATACATTTTTAATGCACCACTTTTACAAAGATCAGACATAATAAAATCTTTGTGTTCATTTTTGAAAATAAATAGTTTTTATTTTTAAGATGGAAAATGTTAGTAGCTATGGTAATGTAGGTCACAAAATACCGTGGAAAGATATGCTTAAGAAGAGTATTAAATTGTCAAGGAAATATATTAATACAATGGAAAGAATACAGAGGACTAAAATTTTTATGTATGGAGTTTGATGCAAAACTTACCTCCAAGAGTGTTTCTCCTTCAGATTCTCTATGAACTTGTACTACCATCATGACCGGTATTGGAATAAGTGATACAAATGTTAACATCCACCCTATTGCTTCCGCCCAGCCTGGGTACACATATTTATCATAGTAAACAGGCACATACTGATTCATGCTGAATATCGTGATGGCCTGCGAGTAAACAATAAAACACATTTTTCTCAAAAGATAAGCAAGTGACCACAAGGTGGTATGATGCATGTAAAAAGTTTTCAACAATTACCTGCTTAGACCATGGTTGCCATTTGGCCGCAAAATTCCTCAAATTTGGCCGTAGAACATGAAAATTCCCAGCCAAATAAACATAATGCATTTGCTAATTTTTTACAATACCAGTGTACATGGTTATATGCAAGATTGCACAATATATTAAGGGCGGGAAAAAGTGTGCGACCGGTGGTTGGAGGCAGCAACTATTACTCTGGAGGCATTTTAAGAAAAAAAAACATTTTTTTTTTTTTTTTTTTTTTTGTTACACATCACAATATAATGCATACCATTGGTATTGGTTAGCTACAATAGCTTAAAGACTAGAAATTGCAAATTGCAAGTGAAGTGTATACTGCATATAAATGTTCTTCGAACAAAATTATTTATGCGAGTCAAGTGAAAATAATGAATAATAAAAATATAACAAATAATATGAGACACGACCCATTGTCTATATTAGAACACGTCTCATTGGGTAACAAAGTCATAATTTTTCATTTTTGTCAAAAAGTGTCTATAGTGGTGAATTATGGCTTAGGTTTTTTTTAAATAAAGTTTCAAAAATTTCTATGTATGTGGAAAATGTAGTTGATTACCAAAGGTTACAATTTTTATTTTGGAGACTGCATGGTCTAGGAAGTGTACATTTTTTTATGGGGCAAGTTTCCAAGGGCGGGTTTTCTAGGGGCAAGTTGACTGCCAAAGAGTGTTGCCAAAGTGCAAGCCAGCGTGTTATTGATCACAAGTGCAAGACTTCGCAAGTGTGAGCCAGCGAGCCATGACGTCACGACAATAGATACGAGACGTTACTCGAGGTATCGGCTGAGATTTGTGGAGTACAATTCAAAAAACAACTATAGGTCTAATAATGAATTATTGTGATGTTAATAGACAATGTTAGCTATCAAGGAGCGACATTGTTTTTCATTGGGACCTTCGTCCCTTCAAGGCTAGGCCTATACCATCCTAGCTAGTCTAGGCCTAGAGTAGGATAAGGCTAGCGCGACATGCGGACGTTGGTTAGTCTACAAACGTCTCCTAAAGTAATTGATTTTACCCGGCAGAACGAAAGGAAACTCCGCTTTTCAGTCGTCTTAGGCCCTTGTTTTTTGACAAACAACTATCTATTATGAGGAAAATCTCTAAAATGTCCATTTTTTTAAACCGACCAGCAGTTAATCGGCTCTAGCATCCATAACGAAACACCGTATTACATCGGGGCTAATTGATTCGAGTACATGTATAAATGACGAACATATTGATGTAAGGTTCAAGGTCAAATAGTCTCGCTTCAATTCTTATTATCAAATCAGAATTAGTTTTACTAAAATACACAAAAATAAGATCCGGTCAAATGACGTCATAGCATTCTCTATGCCAAACTTATTCAGGAGTGCTGTATGAAGTCGAACACGGTCAGCAGCAACCATGGTAGAGCGATCAGGTCATATTATGCTTCATTGAACAGCATGCTAATGAGGATCGTCTGTGTCAATCTTTTGTCTTATTTCCTATACCAAATCTCGAGATTTGATTGACAGATAAACCGACTAATCAGCGACCTTCATTTAGTCACGTGAAAAAATTTTTCTCGCATATTTTAATTTCCTTAAACAGCTGGTTGTCTACGCGAAACATACGCGAGCCTAGGCCTAGATGCCTATGCTTGGTTATAGATACCCAAATTTACACGAGTAGTGCACATCAGTGACTTGGCCTTTGCCGACAACGAGGATGACTGAATGCGGCTTTTCCCTCTTCCTTTGGGAGCGAAATACAGAGGCTTTTACAACAATTTCCCTGTATGTTCCATGAAATAGATTAACACTATGAATGTATGATTCATTTGCATACCGCCCTACCCTGAATTCTCTTTCTTAAAGAAGGTTGATAGCAAAGAAAATGTTCGCCAACTCGGTAAGTCTAGCCGCCATTGTCTAAGGTTTTTGTGATTTTGTGGGCGGGGCTTCGTGTCCTTGTCGACATGTCAATTACAACATTAATATATAAATGAAAGATTTCACTTACAAGAATAATAGATGGAGTCACGAAACGCCACGCCACCTGGTACAGTCTCCATATTCTTGGCATAAATCCTATCATTTCTCTGGTATTGGCTAATAGTCGGTCAGCACCTGATGAGATACGAACAATGCAAAAATTATAACAACATGCAACCCACATTTTAAGAACATTGGTCTATATCATAACACTTAAATTACCTAATTAGTTAATTATAATGTAGTGAATCGGGGATGGAGTTATGGTGGGCGGGACCATCCAGCCTTGGAGTTTTCTACCCAGTCTAAAGCTAATTTCATGGCCCTCCACCCACCCTTACTAAAATACTTCCATCCTAAAATCCACTCTTATTATTTATAGTTTACCAATGTTATCACCCACCAACCCTTAAAATTCCTACCATCCACGCTTAGTTTTCCACAGCTACATCCCTGGTAAATCCTAAGCTTATCATTTCATGTATATAGAAGCGTTAGTGTGGCACAGCGTGTATGGAATTGGGCTTTCGATTGGAAGGTAGGGGGTTGCCTCTCCTCAAATAGGAATGTAAATGGGTGCCTGGTGGGAAGTGAATGTTTCGGAATGAAATTAGTAGTGATGATTACACGCGTAACTAGAAATACCCTAGGGAGTGAATAATTGATTCTGTATCCGAAGACCAGATAAAAAGCACCTCAAGTTTTTTTCTGGATATTTGCACTAATATAAAACCTATTAAATAAAAAAATAAATTACCAAAAAATATATATAAATAAAATAATAATAAAAAAATTAATTAAAAAAAATGAAAATAATTTTGAAAAACATTTTTATTTTATAAATTTGAGTGTGCCATTTTGGTACATCTAGATGCCTATACTTAAAATTTACTTTAACTATTGTTTCTGGAACTGTCGTAGGGGAATTTGACACCCCGATCAGGGAATTTTGGACCACTCCCTCATCGAGGAATCTTTGGCACTTGCACAGCATGAATACTATTAAAAGCTTACCGTACACCCAGCCTATCACCAGACATTCAAACATTCCAACCAGCATCAGTGATAGCCAACAGCAGTACCAGTTAATCAGCTCAAACACGTAAATCCCTCCCTGCATGCACAGCGGCAAACCCAGAAAGAAACACACCACACACACCGCTAGAGCAAAAAGAGACTTGTGAGGGCGCAAGTACTTTGGGAACTCGTCAACAATTCCACAGATGAACGTCTCCGACATACCAAACTGTATCAACAAAAAAGATGATGAGGATTATATACACACATAGAATTATTATATGTTTACATACATTGGATTACCATTCATATTTCCATTTAATAAATCTCTTTATGGTAATTATGTTATCTCAGTTCTATACCCACATAGAGTCATCAAGTGCCTATATATGGTCGTGATGCAAAGTCATTATGACCATATTTAGGCATGTCACATGTTTTTGTCAAGTAAACTTGATAGTCTGTTTATGGTAATCATGATAACTCTGCCAGATTTTTGTAACCAGTCAGAGGAACAAACATTTACACAGTGGTGGTGGCTTCAAAAGTTATGTTGTGTTAGGTGGTCATTTTACCATTAAGCTATATCCGTCTATCAAATTTTCCTTGACAGGAAACTGTTGTATGCCCATATATAGCCATGATGTGCCCATATATAGCCACGATGTGCCTATATTTGGTCACGATGTGACCAAATTTTGATAGTCTGGACAGGGCTTTAGGCAAAATGAATATTAAAATATGTTAATTGTTTCGTCCTCATTCTCTTTTAGGCTACGTTCAGACTTGGAGATAACCCAGGCTTGAGTTAAGCCCGGCTCAACGCTAAGCCTGGCTTAACTTTGCCGGGCGTTCAGACTAGCGGGATTAGCCAGGCATGAGAATTTTCATAATAATGAACCGTAAACCAGCAATCGTGTTTCAAAACATTGCTCGCAAAACGTACGCTCGCTCACAGCGTAAGTATTTGAATGCTGATTGGTCATTTTGTTACCCAAAGTCAATGCAAGACCCCCCACAACAATTAAAGCCCGGCTTAGAAAAGTTAAACATGGTGGTACGCCAGGCCTAGTTACTATAGGAACACAGCCTGGCTTGAGATAAGCCACCAAGTTCAGACTGGCAGGTGGATAAACCCGGTGAGTTGAGCCGGGTTTATCCACCTAGTCTGATTTAGGCCACTGTCTACTTTTCCTTGTAACTGCAACAAGCCAAAACGCATACGATATCAATTTGTTTAGGAAATCTAAACAGCTACATAACCAAGGAATTTAGTGGACACAACATAATCTTACCTGCGTGTCCAATCCAACCAGGAACAGCATAAAAAAGAATAGGAACGACCAAAGTGGGGCCACGGGCATCTGTGCTATGGCCTCAGGATAAGTAATAAAAACCAGATCTGGACCTGCAAAAAATCGAAAAAACCGAAGGGTTCCGAGTCAATAAATTTCCAATTTAAAAAAATGAGTAACAAATAAAAAATATAAGAAAAATTTAAAATACTTACAGTTTCTTCCATATCTGTAACTGATAAAACTTATATACATACATATATATTTTATTTTCTTAATTAAAATAAAATTAAAATATTCACCTTACAACACTACTTTAAAAATCACACAGAATACAATATCATAATATAACATTATATATATAAAACCTAGACTTTAAAATTTTATAAGCTGATTATATGTCGAAGGAGCAGAAAAATGATGGTCTTCTTGATGATCTTCCGATGCACCCCTATTCCCGTAATGGTAGGTCCTAGATAATCTGCATACTGGTACCAGTGAGTAGATAACACAGCCAAATCACTTTCCACACCCAGGAATGGGACTAATCCCTTATATTTTATATACCATTATATATATACATATATATATTGAAATAATATGTTATCAATTTCCTACGTGAAATTTTCCAGTATTTCACCAATCAATCGACTGAAAGGGACTTAATGAACGAATCATTAACTTGCTGACTCCGCAGGGATTTGCAAAGGCGCCAAGACTTTACTGGGTCTGCCACGCAAAAACCCAAGCCGGAACCAATCAAGCATAATGTGACACACGCACCCGTTGTAGAGACATTCTGGATTGGAATGCCAGTCTTCGCAGACATAAAACCTAGTGTTGAGAAGACTACGAAGCCGGCGTAGAAACTCGTAAAACAGTTGATCAATGGAACGACCAGTGCGTCTCTGTAAGGAAGAAGAAACGTAATCTACCTGGAAAGGAAAATGTGGGCAAATGCCCATGTGTGGACAAGTGGCCATGTGTGGGCAAGTAGCCATGTTTTGTGGGGGAGGGGACCATGTATCTTTTCAGGATTGATTAATAACCCATTAATGATATTTTAGTCGTATTTACTGTTATAAGTAATTGTATTTATATATACAAACAATGGGTTTTCTCAAGTACAAAGTAAGTCACTTCTATTTTATATTAATAATTGAAAATTTCCTTCTAAATTGTTTTTATCTTTCAATCAATTACTGTTACTATTATTCTTATTATTATGATTATTATATTATTATGGTACAAATTAAATATTTAAAAAACAGTGTGAGGAATTAAAATTGAAATTAAGTTATATTATTATTTTTTTAAATATTATGTATTTAAACTTTGAAGGGTGAAATTCAATGTATTTGAATTATTAAAAGTATATATTTAAATGAATTTGTTGAGAAATGAATGAAACGAATCAGGACTGAATTTATTATAAGATTTAAGGAATTTTTGGATCATCTGCGAGCGGTGTCCGAGCCTCCACTGGAAACAAAATTTGTAAATTATATCAAACATATGAATCGTTCTTTAACAATTCTTGAATTACAATAAAATATATTTATATTTCACTAACAGGAATGAAAAATAATATAAACAACTACATTTAGGTTAGTAAAAATTTAATCTACAATTTCTATATTCATGTATATATACATATATATACATGCATAATTTATTTTGTTTACTTAGATTAGTAGGACATTTGCCCTACAATTGGTAGATTATTTCTATTTTAATTTTAAAGCAAGTCATTATAAATATTTAGGTGTAGAGGATGAGTCTGAGTGGAAACAATAATTGAAATAGCACGAAAGCATTTTCAAAATAACAAGCATCAATTCTTCATGCATTATATGCCTAATGAATTTCTCATGCAACAACATATGGTGGCAGAGCTATTGTGATTACATATAAACTACATAGCTAGGTTATCTCATTGCATACAAGGATAGTTTTTTCAAAAAGGGTTGCAAAATGCACTTGGAGATATAGATTCCAAATTAAGCGGATCAAAATATGAAGCTAGCTTTGCGTGTGGATTCATAATAATAATAATAATAATAATAATAATAATAATAATAATAATAATAATAATAATAATAAAATTTGACTAAATGTGACTTCTGGGGTGATTTTGACTTTTACAAAAAAGGTGACAAATTCCACAAATAAGCAGCCTGAGATTATAGCTTAAGATATACATGATAGAAATTATGCATTTGTGTAAATTTAATAAAAACATTTTTCTGCAAAAATCTTATGAAATCAAAAGCAGGATGTATAGGTGGTAAGAATTTTCAGATTGCAGAAAGTTAGGAAGGGTAGCAAATATTTATAATAGAAAGAGATTTTGCTGTACTTTTTACAATTTTGCATAGCAAATAATATTTATGATAGAAATGCATAATAGAAATTATGGGTTTGTGCAAAGTTGATAAATTGCTTTTTCTTCAAAAGCTTAAATTGGAATCTAAGTAGGGTGTACAGGATGTAAGAAAGAGACTGTACTGTAGCAAAATAATAATTTTGATAGAAATGCATGATAGAAATTATGGGTTTGTGTAAATTTGATAATTTTTCTTTTTCTGCAAAAGCCTTAATAGAATCAATAGCATGGCATATATAATTGGTGGGAAGTTTAGATTGTAGAAAGATACAACAAAAGTAGCTTAATCAATATCTTAATAAAAAGGCATTTTACTAATTTTTTAAAAAATTTTTCATAGCAAATAATAATTTAATGTTAACTTAATAATTATCAATGTATTTTTTACTACAAAAAAAACAAAAAAACCCAAAGTTCTAATAAAAACTAAATAAAAATAATTTTATCTACTGCAAAATTTTGAATGATGCTTTCTGACTATTTTTTCGGAATGCAAATTTGTGGAACAAGATGTGCTTTTTAGAATTTGCCATGCATGAGAACAAAACGGACTCATTTTCTATTTGTCAAATACAGAAATTTATTACTAACACAATATTGGACAACATCTAATAAAGGATGTCAGGGAAAAACGACAACAACATGCTAGTAATCAAATCACTTAATCACTAAAAATCAATTACAAAAGACTATCATACACAATAGGTAACAAAAATGGAATATCTCATAACAACCAAGATACGGATTATAAATATCGTTTTATATTTCAAAGGGCTGAACTTGGACTGGGTTTGCACCCCCAACGTAATAATAGAAAACCCCAAAGAGCGTAACGCACCTGTAACAGTTATTGTGGAACTTGTTAAAACTCGCAAACGTCAGAATTCCGCCCCATGCCGGTCCAAGAGAGTAGAAAATCTGTGTGGCTGCATCATTCCAAACCTTGATGTAAGTAAGAATGCAATTTAGAATCGTCAAGTATATCTTGTTAAAAAAGCTTACGTACTGTATATAAAAATAATGAAACATTAAGGCTACGATCTCACTGCACATGATGGCCAACATGATTTTATGAAAAACGCAACGCAACGATGCGCGCGCAACTGATCGTTTTTAATGATGATCCGTTCAGACAACCGTCGACAATCGGCAGACGGCGTTGTGTCATCTAGCGCTCACAGGTAGCAGTTAGATTTGCCGTGTGACGGTCGTACGACAGTCCCATGGCTCAGTGGGTGCCCGGGTTTACAGCACACCACATCAATCAATCAATCAATCAAACATTTATATTGTGCCAATTCAAAAAAAATGATCAACATTGTACCCTGAAGTATGGTGAACAAAAAAGTCTTTATTTAGTTTATTTTGAAAGAATCAAGGGAGGACGAGTCTTAACAAATGATGGTAGTTCATTACAAAGAGAAGATGCTGCACAAGAAAAAGTCTTAGTACGGAAACAAGGAACAGATAGCAATGATTTGTCAGAAGAACGAAGGCGGCAAGATGGAACATATCAAAAGAATTATTGTACATGAAATAGAGTATCCTGGATTGGATTACTTCCGATCGCAACCAGCGAAATCTAAATGACGTAATTTTTAAGTTTTAGCACAAAGTACGACTAACGTTTGGTTTAAGAATACCAAGGTAAAACTTCAAAACAATTCATGAGATTCTTGAAATGTAGTGGTCTCATATCGCTAATGTTGAGAGAATATATATTCACATAAACATAGCACAGTTACACTACAAGAGCTGCACTGAATTTTAGTACAACTCTTAGAAAGATCTGTTCAGACTATCAAATTTTCTTCGACAAAAAAACTGTTGTAAGCCCATATATAGACATGATGTGTCTATATATGGTCATGATGTGATGTCATCATGACCATATTTAGGCATATTGTGACAAATGTGATATGTCCATATTTAGGTGTACAGTAATATAACATCATCATGCCAATGTATGAGCACATCACACAATTTTGTCGCATGAAATTTGATAGTGTGAGCACGTGCTTTAATAGTTAAAATGGTAAAAAGTTGCCTACCTTTGCGTCCTTCAAAGTTTCCCATTTGGGGTTCAAGTAGAAGTAGATACCGTCCATGGCTCCTTCCAGAGTAAGTCCACGTATCAAGAGGATAGTGAGAACAACATACGGGAATGTTGCAGTGAAGTACACCACCTGTGATATGATATATAAATTCATACATTCAAAAAGACAGAAAAACAATTTTTTTTATAAATTAAAAATAAAAAACTTTTTAATTGTTGATTAAAAAGAACTACATAATGTCATATTATGGTTGGATAGTGACTTTCAATGAGATAGATAATATAGTTCTTTTTGTACCTATACACTGCAAAGCTTTTTTATATTTTAGTAAGTCATAGATTGGAAAAACATATTTTAAATGACTACAGCCTTAACAACTGGGCTGGTTCGAGGCAGTAGAATTCTTCTAAAAAGGATTAAAAAAAACAATGTATGTACATATTAGACTTGTGTGCACTTTAAGAACCAACCACATGTAGCACATCTTTCTGCTATATTTTCTGGCTATGCCGATTCAAAAAAAGGCATTTTTATATTATTAATCTAATGGTTAGATATGTAAAGCCGTAACTCAGTAGGACAGCCGATAGACGATTTGTCCGTTATATCGCGATTTTTCGATCTTACTTCCGCATTTGCTTTGCGCAGCGCCACCTATCGTTTCAAAGCGTAACCACGTTTTAGCGTCGCTTAGCAAAATCTGTCTCTTCAACTCTATTTATAGTTCTCATTAATAGATAAGGCCCGCCCATGGCTTCCTTATATGGTAAAAACATTTCCAAATAAGTCTAGTTTCGGAACCAATCGGAGTTGTTTGGGAAAACCCACGTTAACGCAAAGCATTTATCGATCGAAGTTGACGCATGTGAAATAGTGAAAATATGGTACGATTTGACTAGGCTTTTATTTACAATTTTCGCCAGAGTCGGATTTGCGTCCCCGGCTCATCATTTTCCTTGAACCTGTCTCTTATACACATCTAGATGTGTATAAGAGACAGATTTTAATGTTATGGTTTTAATCTGTATAATTATATTTATTAACTTATTGTTATAGTTTTCGTCATTTCATTAATGACATAATCCATCCGATGATGTTTTCTAAGTGTTGTTGTGTTTATTCTTGTATGTGTATTTCCAGCCCGACCTGGACACAAAGTACATTTCTGCCCCTGTTGTGTGTTGTGATGTGAGCATTAAGCTTCTCTTTGGCTGCTATTACGTAGTTACACACATTTAGTCTATCATCAACATATCGGCAGACACTGTTGCATCTTTAAGTGCTCACTGAGAGCGGAGATGGATTCGCCGCACGACATTGTATGTGTGCTTGAATGGATTACCTTGCCAGAAGATTTGACGCCTTTGAATATACATGCATAGACAATGACCCAAGCAAGGAACAGACAAGCTGCCAGCTGCCATCTCATACTTCCCATATCCTCAATACCCTCAGTCAATTGAAGGACTTCATTTCTTTGGAAAAAAAAACAAAAAACAAAAGCTCAAATTTAGGAAATCACTTACATCTTTCCTGAATCATCTGTATGATTACTATTACATTTTAATAAATTTCCTATGTAACTTTTATAGTTTATTGCTTATTTTTATTATGTACTTGACATTGCATAAATACAATACAAACAACATTTTTCAGACCCTACAATATATACAGTTGAACTTGCTTTATTAAAATTCAAAATAGCATTGAAAAATTGTGCAACTTGGATAAAATTTGACTTACAGATCGTTAATTAATGGAAATTATTAATCAGTCTAAAACATCTGTTAGAGATAGTCTGATATAGGCAAAGATTATGACAAATCTGAAAGAATGCACCATCATTTTGAACATTTCTAGACAATCTGTAACACGCAACACGCACAAAAATTTCTAATATGTTCATTTGATTTGAAAATACGATAAATTAAAAATTGGCTTCAGATGGGTTTTCAGTTTTAAAAACTGACCTCAGGGCTTTAAAATGAGTGCAATATTTGACCTTATGGTTACTAGGATTCAAGTGAACTCTGAACTCACCTCCAGTATTCCTCAGCAGGAATAGTTGATTCATTCGCTGAAACTGTAAAAGTCTCATTGTTGCTATTTTCGTAAGTAATGTTCGTGCCATTGGAATATCCGCAGGAATCGGTGTTCCAGATGTTGTTACATCCCTTCCATGGCAGCTCTTTTGTGAATGACTTGAAAAAGAAGAATACTGCCCACGCCAGTACAAGGTTGTAATAAACAGTAACAATCCCGGAAATACACACCATAGCATATCCAATTCCTGTGGGAAATAAAAGTAGAAGATATTCTTTATATTGGTTTTTATCTGGGGCCAGGAAAAAGTGGTGATCTAAATGGAGAAGGCCTTTAATTGGAGGGGTCTTTAATTGGATAAGGTGTTTAATAAGGTGTTTAGTATCTATCACGTGTGTAACTACTAGTTTAACAGGTGCAAACCTACCTGTACAACAGGGGCAACTACCTGTAACAGGTGTATCCACCTGTACAACAGGTGCAAGTACCCTTATAAAAGGTGAAAACTACTGTACCTCTACAGGTACAACAACCACCTGTATACAGGTTTAACTCTCAAGTGAAACAGGTGCAACTACTATTCTGAACGTCCACTGATTAATCTCAGATAAGAAAATATATAATAATACATCCCTGATGATGACATAATTAATGTCGAAATATTTAATTGTGACACGTTGGCTTGCATTTCAATACTTGGGAGTATGTATTATACTTTTTTTATAATAATATTCAGTTCTTAATTTGCAATGTAGTACAGTACTCAGCATAATCGTTTTTAACTATTCATCAAGAAACTTTGCGTAGATTCAAATGCTTCACTTAACCGACACACACACTTATTCATGACTACACATGCGAGACGTGATAGCACGTTATCTCATCATTTTCCTTGAACAGAGCACTCAAATCATGCAACTACACAATGTTGATACAATGAAATATTTCAACATGACTAAGGGCTATTAAAGGCTAAATAACCTGAGTTACTCAGTGCTGGAATAACATGTCATACATTAAAACAACTACTTCATCCGTCTTCCGTTTTGATGAAGTGGATATTAACATTTTTATCTGTAATTGTAGATTTGGTTTGAAGCATTTGGAATGTTTCACTAGAATTACATTGCCATAATCTAGATACTGGGTTTTCAGCTTTGGGCAACAGTAGTTTGCAGGATACTTACTGGTTTAGTTTTCAGAGTTTCCTTTTCCGCTCTTTATTTTCTCAAGCGCCTTCAGCAATTCTTTAAATAGATTTATTTTGCAGCGCTTTGAGGTTACTTTTTGTATAAGTGCTTTATTAAAGTACTAAAATTATATTATATCAGCGTGATACAAATCTTATTCATTAATCAAGTACAAGTTTAATTTAGTGTCATATACAATAAAAACAATGATATACTAAAATACAATACAAAAATTTAAAAAAAAAATAAAATGATAAAAAAAATGATATAAAACATAATAAATATAAAACCTGCACAAACATTGCAAAAAATTGCACTATAGTCGAGCAAAAACATATACAAGTGCAGTACACTTTATACTAGGATAAAATTCAAAATATCCCAAGTTATCTTTTAAATTGTTTATTGTATTGCCTGACTGCACACGGAAGAATATTATTATTATTATTATTATTATTACTACTATGGTATTATTATAATACAGTACAATTTTGAACGGAAAAATACCAAATATGATTTTGCATATTTAAATATAAATTATCAGTTTGAAAATTATGACAAAAAATGGGCTTGATGCATAAATAATATTATGTGATGATAAAATATCTTCATTAGAAAAATAAAGAGAAACAAAAACCTGAAATGGTACGCTTATACTGTAAACCTTGTGTTTGGTTGAAAATATACAAAATTCTCAGTTATAAAAATGGCCTATCTTGTTGGATGCCATACTGTATGCTTGGGACAATTTTTGAATATGTAATGAAAAATAAATTTCAGAAAAGATATCAATTTTGAAGAAAGCAACTATCAGCAACTGTTCTCGTTTATTGATACACAAGTTTAAGTAGTGTTGACTCGCTCAATTTCATGTATGTTTAAATTGAACTCCCTTGGAAATAAAAGACATTCTCATTGTTAATGCGTTTCAGAGCACAGATCGTTTTATTACTTAATTTACAAACATACAGCAAAATTGTACCGTAACATCCCGTTCCACTTAACGACACTGTGTTAGTTTCAAGCTTTCTTTGATTCCCAAGTTCAAAAGAATATAAAAATAATTACTTTGCTTCTTATTTTCTGTTTTTAAAACACAACAAGGAAGCAACAGCCCACCCCCCACCACCCGCCACCGTTTTGCCACTAAATTTTAAAATTTTTAATGCAAGTCAATGTTGCGTGCTACTCACTTACCTATTCTAAAAATGTTGCCTCTACCTAC